CTCATTCTAAGTCTCGCCGACTCTCTCTTTCTTTGACTTGCGCTGAGTCAGGTGACAGTGACTGTCTGACAGTGAGTGATGCGAAATGGAATGTAATTTTGAATGTTGACAGTCCTGTGCACGTTGCATTAACCTGACTGACTCAGAGTCTTTCCGGCAGCTGATCTCAAGTTGCGGGTGCGTTTTGATGTCAATGTGTAGGTGAGATTGCGCATCGCAGCAAGAAGAGCGCACAACATGACCTCGTGTGCGTCTGAAGTAAACGCGACACCCAAATAATAATATTCTGAAAACAATACCCCAATAATAAGCAAGAAGTGCGCTGCGAGTCTCTGAAATACATGCCCGGAACACGAACCCCGAATCACAGCAGCACTGTCATTGAAAAATCAGCTTCAGTTGAAACGACGAGCTGAACTAGGTCTTGCAGGTCAACTTCAATCATTGCTCCATGATTATGTTCTCCTGCGCTGCTCTAAGCCCGCTTGCTTGCGGCTTTTGTTGCCGGCAGGCAGGGCCACGATTGCTAAAAATAATACCTTTCCTTGACTTGCTGGGAGCGTTGGCCAGTTCCTGTGGCATGCGCAGCTGCTTGCTTTGCAGGCAATGGAGACGTCCCTGGCCCCTGCTTTGACACCGGGAGCGGCCAGGTTTCTGTCATGCCATGGCTGATAGATTCGGCAGTACTTGGCCAGCAAGTTTGGTCCTGTTGTTCTTTTTCCTGGGGTTCAGGACCGATTCCATGCTACTTTGTGACTGTTACATCTGAGGAAAGCGGTCCAGGACCGTTGACTCTCTGTCGGATGACGACGTGCCGCCACCTGAGGCCGCTGAGACTGAAGCCTCCGCAGTACAGCTGCGGCGGCAAGGCTGTGCCCGAGCCTCCAGGATAGTTGACGCTCTAAGCGATGAGGATGACAATGAATTGCAGCGACCACGTGATGCCGCGACAGACCCTGGTAAAGCATCCACAGTGCAGGTGCGGCGGCCAGGCCCTACAGGAGCCTCCCAGAGACAGTCACCGTCGTCAGGCGTTGGCGTGAGATCCAGACGGGGGCCGCCAGCTGGTCATGCCTTGCACTCGCGGCTCACACAGCTGACGAAGCGCCGCTGCAAGTGCAGAGGCCAGACATGTCTCCAGAAGCTCGCCGGCAACGTTGCTGACCTCACAAAGCTACGGCAAGAGCTGCGGTCTCTTGACAAGCGAGATGCTGATGTGCGGATTCATTCAATGCTGACGGCATCTGCCACGCTGTCAGTGTTGCAGGTTCCGGTGTGCCAGATGGCTTTCAGGACTTTGCTGGGCATCGGCACCTCCCGCTTCCGGAGGCTCAGGATTGCAGCTGTTCTGCGTCGGCCCGCTCCGGCGGATGGCCGCTTCGGTGGTCGCCTGTTCCAGACCAGCAACGTCTGTAGCAAGGCGAAGCGTGAAGTTGTCGTGCAGTTTCTCCAGGAGCTCTATGAGACGGCTGCTGAGCCACTGCCCAATCTTCATGGTAAGCCTCGGGAGGAAGCAGCTGCCCTCACCGCGACTGCAAAGTTCCAGGACCGACGCCCGGAAGGCCGTCAGTTCATGGCTTTTCGCCGCCACAAAGGCCGGCGGCCTCGAGTGATGGCGAAACACCGCAAGCCCAAGACTGCGGCTGGGGCGAACGAGATGCGACACATGCGCTGCCTCCCGCCAGGGACCTTCACCGATTATTTGAACCTGCTGAACGCTCGGCTGCATGCTGGCGACTTCAAAGGGCACGAGGACGTCCGGAGGATCAGTCTCAAACTCTTTAACAAGGCCTCATGACCTTCAACTTGTGCAATAGCAACTTTGAAAAATACTTCACCAGATTCAGATCTGAAGTAAGTCTGAAGGGTCACACTGCAACGTAATAGTTTGCAATAATATATAGGCAGCTACCATCGGTCTGAGCGGACTCCATTTACATCTGAATCTAATAAGACTTTCCCCGGCATCCGCCTTTTAAAGAAATCCCTACGAGGTGTGGTCCCAATCCTTCCACAAGCTGCTGTCGATCAGAGAATACAGCCAACACTCGAAATGCGCCAGCTGCATGAGGCACAAGCTCATTTTGAGCAGGCTCAGCAACGATTGGAAGGCCCGACAGGCACAGATGCTAGCCTACGGGGCACACCTCCGCCGCCAATATGAGGACAGAGTGCAATATTGGCGCTCGCGAGCCCAGAGTCGGATCCGTGCTCTGAGCGTTCGACAGCTCATGAATGTGACGGTGATCTTAGACTCCATAGACCACGCGAAGCTGCGGTGGCCGCGCAGCCTTCTGCTTCAGTCTAAGGACTTCGCGTCATTCGCCAGGCCGTACCTTACGTGCACTGGCGTCATCATCCACGGGCACCTCGCGATGCTGGCGATCTCTGAGAACCACGTCAGTGCCGACTCATCTCGGACAACGGAGATCGTCATGCACGCCCTCGAGCGCCTACAGCGCAAGATGATCGACGTTCGCATGATCGAATTGATCCTGCAGTCGGACAACTGCAGCAAGGAAGGAAAGAACAACACGTTATTGAGGACGTTGGCCGGCTTGGTGGCGTCGCGCAGATTGGGCAGGTGTGAGTGCCGGTATCTAGAATCGGGGCACTCCCACGAGGCACGATTATTTCAAAATGTATCTAGAAAAGCCGAAGAATTATAATTGTAACTTGGCGTGAAATGGAAGGACGTGGATGCCTGGTTTGGCCAGTTGGCGGGGTTCATAGAGCAGCACCAGGATGTTCCCACTCCAGAAGCTTTCACGGAGCTCCTCACCGCCTTCTTGCACGCGCAGCCGCGCCAGAATGAGGAGGAACGCGTGGTGGTCAAGTTAGACCAAGTCAGAGACTGGCGCTTCGGTCTTGACGTCACGGTGGTTTCATGTTTACTAAAGTTTACTATATCCGTGCCGCGTTCGCCCTTGATTATCTTACGTTTTGGCTTGCATTCAGTCAGGAAGCACTTCATGTCAGAGAACACCCATCACGTGCACGTCAAGGGAATTGGTGGACCTGGTGCTCCCCACGTGATGGCGCTGGACGTCTACGAAGACATCCAAGGTGAAGGCCCATTGAACTTAGCTCACGA